GGAGGGGAGGAATGTTTGGGAATATGCCAAAGGGCTTTGCACCAGAATAATTAACAGCTTTGGCATCCGAATTGGCTCCTCCTGGTCCTGGGCACCCTCTGCCTTTACAGCACCAGCTGCGTCCTTGGCCTGAGCCCCAGCTCTGAAAATCCCCCAGCGAGGGATTGTGTATTTTGGGGGGTGGGTGAGGCCGAGGGGGGCTCTGAGGAAAGCCCAGAACTGGTGTGGTGGGGCTGGGAGATGTTCAAAGCCTTTTCCCATCCTCCTCCAGCCATCTGGCCGTGGTGTTCGCCTCCCTGAGGTCTTCTGCATCATCAGCTGCCTGGGCTGCTTCGGGCTCTTCTCCAAGGTAGGGATGTGGTGGCCCTGGATGGCGTGGGGCTGGCCCAGGGAGGCAGCCCGTTGCCTGCCAGGGTTTCACAGGTGACTTTGCTCTCTCCTAGATCCTGGACGAGGTGGAGAAGAGGCGGCAGATCTCCATGGCAGTGATCTACCCCTTCATGCAGGGCCTGAGGGAATCGCCCTTCCCAGCGCCAGGGAAAACAGTCACCATTAAAAGCTTCATCCCCGAGTCAGGCACAGAGGTCGGTGGGGGGCTCAGCAGCATCTCCTGGGCTGCTCCGACGTGGGGAGCCTGGGCTGACCCTGGGAGCACCCTCCACCCCTGCAGCACCCCTGGGTGCTTGCTGGAGCAGTGGGTGGCAGGTCGGGCTGCCAGCAGCCTCATGCCTGGGGAATAGGGGTCCCACCTCCCTCCCGGCCCAGGAGGAGAGCAGCAAGCAGTGAGGATGAGGATGGAGCCACAGGAGCTGCTGCCCCATCTTTCCATCCCTGCAAATTAAGATCACTGCAGCTCCACCAGCCTTGGGCCGGAGCCATGAGCACAAAACCTGCCTGGCTGCTCCTCAGCAGGTCGGTGCTTGCAGGGCCTGCAGCTCAGCACGTTGTGCTGGGGTTGGGGAGCAGGGCTGGAGTCCACACCTCTGATCTCCCACCCCGGGCCAACCTGAGCTGGAAAACCAGGGAAGATCTGCCTTGGCCCTCAGCAAAATCACCCCAGAGTTGAGCATCCTGGGGATGGCGCCTGCCAGGGTGGCTCTGGGAGGAAGATCCCTCCTCTCTGGTGTGATTTAGCAGCTGGTTTTCAGGCTGCAGGAGATGTCCTCATCCAGGAAGGCTTGTGCAAGAGCTTCCCAGGTTGCTCAACGCTCTGGCTGGGGCCCAGGCTGCAGGGAGAGAGGCTGGGGGGTGACGGCGAGGGAGGGAGGATGAGGAGGGTGTTCTTCGAAAGTGCTGAGCTCTGGGGCTCCAGGCAGGGCTCCGAGCGAGTCGAGGAGATCAGTGAGAAAGCAGGGAAAGGAATGAAAGTGAATTCTGGGTGCTGCACGGGCTGGGAGCTGAGGATCGTGCAGGATTTGTGCTGGGAAGAGGCTGCAGAGCCCCGTGCTGCTGGCTGGGCAGATGCTGCTTACAGAGGAGGGGGATTTATCCCCCCTGTGAAGCTGGGGAGTGGGGCCAGGACTGTCCCACGAGCTGCAAGGTCCTGTTAACCCTTCAGCTGCCACCATCTCAGCACTGCCTGCAGCAGGGCAGAGCTCCTGGCCAGGTTTGGGAGGGTCTTGTCTGGGGCAAAGCCAGCAGAGCAGACAGCCCCCCTGCCAACCTCTGCTGGAGAATTCACTTCAGGGCCACCCGAGTCAGGACGAGGCAAGCTGGCCTGCCCAGAGGGGCTTTGGAGGAAGGTTTTTGGGGTTTTTAATAGTGGAAGTCATACCCTCATCCCTCCCCTGTCCTCTCAGCTGCACACCCCCCGGGTGAGTGCTGGAGAAAAGAGGTTTGGGGCTAAAAAAATCCCATGCCCCAGTAAATAACCCCCCAGTGCCCATCACCACAGGCTTCCTCAGCACTGCCCAGCCCCACTCTCCAGGCAGCACAGGGTGAGGTTTGGCCCTTGCTGCAAACTCTGGGTGATGAATTGCTCCTGAATCACCTTCTCCAGGGCCAGGCCAGGCCTGGGGGGAGCGTTGTGCCCCCTAAGCCCATTTTGATGCCTCTCCCTCTGCAGCTCATCGAGCTCACACGGCCGGTCGATGCCCACCTAGAGCACGTGGAGTTCCAGGCTCTGCTCCAGAGGCTCAGCCCCCACCTCATCCTGCACATCTTCTCCTCGGCCGTCTTGGAGCGCCGGCTCATTTTCCTGGCAGAGGAGCTGAGGTGAGTTTATTTTAAAAGAAACCAAACCAAAAAAAAACCCTTTGAAGGAGCACAGGACGCAGCTGAGCTCGGGGTGGGATGTCCCCTCCTGGGCACTGGAGTTCCCTTCCCTCGTGCAAGGGGTCCTTGGACAAGCCCTCAGGGTGGCTCCTGGTCCCCCAGCGTCCTGTCGCAGTGCATCCACGCCGTGGCTGCTCTCCTCTACCCCTTCACCTGGGCTCACACCTACATCCCCGTGGTCCCCGAGTGCCTGCTCGACACCGTCTGCTGCCCCACGCCCTTCATGGTTGGCATCCAGAGGAGGCACCTGGCCCGGGTCCTGGACCAGCCCATGGAGGAGGTATTTCACCCGGGCAGGGGAAGGCCTCCGGATGGAGCCCCGGGTTTGGGTTGGCTCCAGGGTTGGGGGGTCTGGTCGTGGCCTTTTCCCATCCAATGAGCCTGGAGATTGGGGCTTCTTGCACAGCCCCTTCTGTTGGCCGCTGGGGCAACACCTCCTTCTGCCCCAGCACCCACAGCCCTGACCCTGGGGGCTCAGGGGGCTGCTCTTGCCATCACCCCAACCTTGCAGAAGCAAAGAAAAACTGCATGGGGACAAGCCCCCGAGTTTGCCACCAACACAGTCCCTGGGGGGGAGGCGTTGGTCACCCAGCCCAGGTCCCTCCAGCAGAGAGGGACCAGTCCCTCTCCTGCCACCCTCGTGGGCTGCAGACACGGTGCTCTGATCCCAAAATGGGTGGGACAAAGCCCAGCTACCTTGGTGGAGCTGCAGCTGGTTGCTCTCTGCTCTCTTCCAGGCTCTGATCGTGGATCTCTGTGAAGGGAAGATCATCCGGGCGGTAGGGTCCCCCACAAGCAGGGGGTGGGGCTGGGGGTGGGCTCCCCTGGCCCAGGTAGCCCCAGGAAGGGTCCTTCTTGCCCTTGATGCCTGGCAGCTTTCACAGAGGCACCTCAGCATCACCCATCCAAGGGGGGGGGTTGTCCCACGAGGGGAATGTCTCCAGCCACCACATCAGTCTTGTGAGCTGGAGCAGCAGGGTCTGTTTTGGGCAGCCCACCCCCAGCATGACTGCAAATGATCATTAATTAATGAGCTCTGCAGAAGCTCCACTGATGGGCTGCACTGACCAGAGACATCTGAGCTGGGTTCCCACCAGTGCTGGCTGCTTCATGACCCCCTTGCCTTCCAGGTGGGGGACGAGGAGGAGATCTTGCCCATCAAGCTGCAGAATGAGATGCTGGCATCTCTGAGCAGGCACAACAACAACAACAACGTACACAGTGAGGACATCTCCTTCTACAGAGTAAAACGTGTGAAGCTGCTCTCTGCAGATGGCCAGAGTCCTCAGTGGAATGATTTTCCCAAAGGGACCTGGCCTGGGATGTTTCTGCCCCAATTTGCAAGAAGATGCAGCCACAGGAGGGAAATCCCTTGGCCTTTGCCCTGTCCTATGAAACGGGAGAGGAGGAACAGCTAATTCTGCTGAAAAACACCCCAGGTTTTGCCAATCTTTGGCCCACAAAGGTGCCACCACCCTGGAAAGCAAATGTAGCCTGGGCTCCCCCAGAAAAATTAGTCTGGTCTTGGTTTACTGGCAGAGGGAGGTTTTAAGGAAAGAGTCTCTTGGGATGCAGACTGTGAAGCAGTCAGGTTCTAAGGAGGTTATGAGCCCATCCTTTCTGTGGCCAGAGGTCCCATAGAATCATTTGGGTTGGAAAAGAACTTTCAGGTCATCAACTCCAACCCTTCCCCAGCACTGCCAGGTCCCCACTGCCCCGTGTCCCTCACCCCACATCTCCACGGCTTGGAAACCCCTCCAGGGGTGGGGACTCCACCACTGCCCTGGGCAGCCTGGCACAGCCCTGGGCAACCCTCCAGGGCAAGAAATTGTTCCTCAGGGACAACTGAAACCTCCCCTGGGGCAACTTGAGGCTGTTTCCTCTTGTCCTGTCCCTTGTTCCTTGGGAGCAGAGCCCGACCCCCCCTGGCTCCAGGCTCCTGTCAGGAGCTGTGCAGAGCCAGAAGGTCTCCCCTGAGCCTCCTTTGCTCC